GGATCGAGCACTTTAGATGGCGGTAACAATCCTCCAGACTCACAAATCAACTTTGTCTCTTCAGGCTGCAAGAATTGTAATAGATTTAATATTTAAATAAAATAGAGCAAAAAATAAATATTAGTCTAGCAAATAAGGAAAAGTTCATAATAACCTTGGTTGTATTCTCAAGCGCAAATCCAGGAGTATCTGTATCAGGAGGATATGTTATTGTAATTGAGATATTGTGAGGTTTCATCTGGAGTAATAAAATAAAAAAAGGTTAACAATTTAAAATGGATCACATCAAATTAACTAGCCGAAATTTTTTACCTCCATAGCAAGGGTTTGAGCAAATCCAAGCAAAGCAAATTTTGATGCTGAGTATGCTGAGAAGCCATAAATACCAAAAAGACCAGCCATTGATGAAGTTATCTCTATGAAACCTTCATTTCGAGTGACCATTTTTTTAAGAACTGCTCGAGTACAATTAACAGTTGACTGGTAATTCACCTTAATCATGTCGTCAAAATCATTCAAAGGTGTTTCTAGGAATCGATAACAAACAGCTTTGCCAACAATATTGAAAAGTCCGTAAATTGGTCCTAATTCATCCTCAGCTTTTTGAATTATAGTTTCCAAAAGTTCGTAGTCTTTGCTAACATTTACAGGAAAATAAATAACCTCGGAATCTCGTTTTGTCTCTGATTTTGAACAGATATACTTTTTAGCTTCTTTCAATCCGTTCTCGTCTCGAGCTAAAATCGTAACTTTGGCTCCTTGTTGAAAGCACTGAGCAGCTACCTCCAGACCGATTCCTTTAGATCCACCAGAGATTAATACGTGTTTACCTTTAATATTAACCTTACGTTTGAAGCCATAATTTACGTATAAAACTACCGCAACCACAATCAATAAAACTGCAGTTAACATATTTAATACGAATGTAGTATCAAAATTCATAATCCAAAACCAAAAACAAAAAATACAGGAAATTGATGAAGTTTGGTTGCTATGAGTTGAGATAAGATCTCGATAACAATGGTAACCAGATGTACGATTTTTAAACGAGCAATTAGACTTTAAATAAAATTAGACATTAATTTTATATCATTGTCAACACAATTAAAACATGAAACAGAATAAATAACAAAATATAATTTTTTTATGAACATAATCATTAAATCAAATTTTATCCATTGTAAACTGAGAATAAGCCTGACAACTATATTTTAATGTCAGCGAACATTCAATAAGTTGAATTATGTTGAATAATTTTTACATATTGCTAATTACATAGCTATACAATTTAATATTTAATGAATTAA